ATCGAATGATGGGCACATCTCGATCTTAAATTTGATGTCAGTGCTCCTTTAACACTGCGGCTAGCACCACTGAACAAGGGACAACAAAGAAGCATATGGAGCGTCTGCCTACTGATCATCCATGAGAGAAAGTTCCTCAATTCCACTAGACGGCGCAATAATCTATGAACATTGCGAATACTTCATTTCATACATCAGGTGCAACGCTGTGGAAGCTATGCAGTAAATTCTGTCATCAAAACGTATGGGGCACGAGCACTGCCATCGCTTTGACGTGCAGGGTTGGATCACGTGATCTTGCCTCGCTCTGGCGAAGGAAAGCTGGTGGTAGGATGCGTTGTTTTAAACCACGACTTCGCGGTGTTTTCATTTTTGAACAGCGCTGTATTGCTCGGGCCTAAGGTGCTCGGACTTCTGCAGACTGCACAATGCGAGAAGTCGCAATAAAAGTTACCGGTGGTTGCCACAGTTCGCTACGTTTGCGATGCCAATTCGGGTTTTTGGCTTGTACGTACAGTTCCTTACGTTACCGTGTTTCCAAATACCAGATATGAATCGGCGCATGCGCGTGTATATACGGAAAGTAAACCTTTGCGTTTCCAGCTGGATGGTGTTTGAAAGTTTACGTTTCCCGCCATACAAGCTTTTCGTTTTTCGCCCTATCGCGCAAGTTCACCTTTGTTCGTAGAAACTCGTGGTATCCGTTAATGCGGGGACTTGAGCCATCGAGTTGAAATAAGCCGAAGTGGGAGCGCCAGTAGCCATTACATTGTTTCAGCCGGATTACCTAAGGTACAATGGCCTGGGACATAGGCGCCGTAAACGTGCGAGCTCGCGACAGGCTGAATAGATGGCGCCATCTAGCGGGGAATAGTGGACCAGGTAATCACAAAATTTTTATTGCAGAAATATTGTGCATTGACGTCTCATGCAAAAACCGCACCGCGACAGGTAACAAAAAGTTACCTTTTAATCATTTTAACCTCAAAAACATTACGCGTAAGACAACGTATTCGTGACTGTGGTTGCACGAAGTGTCACAAGATGTCGACCCCATTGTTGCAATAGCCCTTGTATTTTCACCTGTTTGCGCATACGAGAATACTGTACGCGATAAAAAATGTCTCGAGATTTTGCCACAAGGGTGATTCGATCGTATCTAAGTTAAAAGCAGTTTATATGCAGCTCGCACCACCATTTATGGTTTGCGCAAACATAAAGGTATACGTGTTTATGTACGCAGGTAAACGTTTAAGTATGAGGAACTAAAATGTTGAAAGGTTTACGTTCCGGTTGGACTGTAAATGCAAACTGCTATCCGGTAACACGTTAACGTAAAGAAGTATGCGTACAAGCTAAAACTCCCTAATGTCACGGCCGCTGGCAGTGCTACTGTCCTCTCTCTTTTTCTTTGTTGTGGTTGTTATTTCGAGCCCATGGGGTTAAATTAAACGCAGACTGTGAATGTTCATATAAAAGCAGATTGTTTCAGTTTCCGCACGGGAGCCTTGTTCGTCAAATGAATGTGAAAATCGTCCAATTATGTATATTTTAAAATAGGACGTAGGAGCGTACATGTGGAGGAATTTGCCGTTAATACATTAAAAATGTGCGCCATTGTCTACAATTGTCAGAGGCAAGGCAACCTGAAAGTCGAATTCTTTTCCCTTTATTTTCGCTATTTTCACCCTATTTCGATCTATTTCGTGGCCGGATATACAACCGTCCGTAGCGTATCCTGGGGCTGGCACAGCAAACTCATGCCACCCTTCCCCTCCCGAAAGAAAAATTCTAATTGTATATGAGCATAAAATAGTGGTGGACCACCTCTATCTTCCTCGCCCAATTCCAATCATGCTAATGCCAGGTCAAAAAAAAAAAATCTGCCAACGCCCCTGCTGCGCGCGACTTCAGCTCACAGGTTTAATTCCTCACTTATAGATTTCCTCTATAGAATGGGCCCATAGCCACTCATACTTACTCTCAATGCTATTATGATCTACAGGCACAAGTGTAGTCAGCTTCGAGAACTGATTCATCTTTCAATAGCTTCGTGAAATGTAACACAGCTTTGAATGATGCTGAAAAAAAAAGAACTGGACATTGGCAACTTTACTGAAACATTAAATTGCTGTTTAGATCACGGTACGCAAGACCTAGCAGCATGCTAATTCAAGGACGCAAAATGATACGGCTGGCTGATCACACATCATAATTTACCCTTTTATAGAAGCTCTGGAACTGAACCAATCATTCATAATTTTCACCATTGTGGGGCTTGATGGCGGTCGAATGTACAACGCGTGACCACAATAGCAATTTTGCGCAATAAATACTAGGATCGTGCCGCATAGAGAAAGTTTGAACTCTGAATGATGCAAGCGCGTGTGCCAGTCTCACATTTTTGCCCGCAATGATAACAGAAAGGCTGCGGCTGCATACATGAGGCTGGGATAATGCTGGGTTGCTTCCCACAAAGCGTGGAATCCGCTTGCGCTGTGCTTCGTAGGGCTATGTGTGCTAAAAAAATGTAATTTGCGTATGCTTGCCACATCATCCGCTGCCCCTCTTTAGACGCAAACATACAATGACTGAAGTGTTGTGGTTGCGCGCATATCTTGCAGCAAATATAAGTTTTTTTTACCGCCAATTTTTATACTTCAATTCGACGTGGAATGAGTTGCCACGTCCTACACAGGCGGCGCGTTCACTCCCGTGGTTCTCATTCAGGTGGCCATAAAAGATGACACTGGCAGTCATGCATTATGGGAATGAATCAAGGAATAAACTTTATTTAAAGTCCAGCAGGTTTACCAGGCGAGGTGGGGAAAGAGGGAATTAACCCCTGTCCCTTCCTACTCTCCGTCGATTATGATGGTGGTGCCTCAGGTGACCGAAGTCATTGGACCCGGGCGGCACCTTCAGTTTGCCTGACGGCCCAAAGCTGGTCGGCCAGCTCGTCGCTTCTGAGTGCCGCCTTCCAGCGGCAGCGCAGCTGACGTTGCCGAGCGGCAACAAATTCCTTAACTTGGCGTGAACCAAAATGGCATGGGATGGTAAGGTGGTTTGACGAATATGACGCGCTGGTCAAGACATGAATAGTGTCCGAAACCGGTTGTGTACGTCATGAAGCCCTTCGCGCCAGACAGTGGCACGTAAGTGCCAATGGTATGTGGGTATGTGCCACAGGTGATTGACACTTCATATCTACCCGGGAATGGCGTGAACACACATGAGACCCGTCTAATGCATAAAATACAATAAAGGTGAAGGTCCCCGCAGGTATCGAACGCCAGCATTCTGCGTGACAGTCAAGCATTCTACCACAGAGCCACTTCAGGTCCTGGAAATACCTTTCAAATATGTCCTAATGTTCGTGAAACGTCGCTTGTGCCCCGGGCTATAGAAATGTCTGAAGTCCTCCACTACGGCGTCTCTCATAATAATACCGAGGTTTGGGACGTTTACCTCCACTTATCAAACAATAATGTCTGTGCGTGCTAAATTTGTACATATATTTATCGTCAATTTCTAACGTCTCTTGATAAAAACTCACACCACGGCCACCTTCCTTCAGCATGCTTCACAAAACGTCGATTACCAAGGTACGTGAGATCTGCCGAATAGTTTTGCTTCAGAGCAAACATCTATTACGTCAGTTGTAGTTCACGCACCTTGGCCAGGTTAAGGTTGCATCAGAAACCTAATTATTTCTTTTTGTTTTACGTGTTCAAAGAGGCGGCCGTTGGCGCTGCCGGGAGTATTTGGGCTTACCAGCATGCCTGCATGCAAATGGTGGAGAAACGTCAGCATGGCGTCCGCCACCGATTTTAGGAACAAAAAAAGGTGTGCACGTGCCTTAAACGACAAATAAGGTGTTTGCTTTTGGAATAATAAACAAAACTTGGTGGAAGTCTGCGAAAACCGCACGTGGTTTCAGTTTTCAACTTTCACCGGCAGTACTGCTGTCATCGCCTCCCCCGACCAGTCTTGTGTGAATTCATTCTACTGATGAAAATAGAGAAATGCAGATCGAACAATTCTATTTAAAAAAAATTCTGCCCACTTTTCGGAGAAAACACTGCAAATTTAGACACTTCAGACGGTATGCTTTTGTTGCGGCACAAAACAGAAAAGCAGTGACGGCTGGTAGACAGTCCTCCTAAAAAAGAGTGTGATGGCAATTTCACTCGCAACGTTACATTCATTTCATCTTTTTTATGGTGCCATTCCCTCGACAATGCTAACTGTTGTACTTGAGGGTGATATTTATTCACTGGAAACAAAAAAATACACCCAGTAGGGAGTAAAGTGCACGTTCTCTATTGGCCACCCTATTAGGAGTAGTTTTTCCTCCGAACCTCAGAAGCAAAGTTTTTACCATGGCTGAACGGAGTGATTGTGTGACGCAGCCGGAGTACTATTCACTGGTATTTCTCTCCGACCAAACTAGAGCAATTGTGAATTCCTTGCTAAGGCTAGCTATTGTGCTTGTGGTTCCCAATGCTACACTGTGAAAGAAAAAAATACTCCCAGATGAAATTAAAGTATCCTGTCTTCAAGCGACCCCCCTGTTTCGGAGTAGTTTTTACTACGGTTGTCAGGAGCGAATTGTGGGCCGAAGTGAAATTGGTTATCACTGATATTTCCCTTCAGCCAACCAAAGTAGTTGCAGTTTTCTTGATAGTGCTATAGCTGTTGTGCGTGTCGTTCTAGATTCTATTAGAACCGTACACCCTCGTTAAACACAACCTGAAGTGACCAGGCAAATGGGTTCTGTTCAAGAGTTTTATTCACAGTACGATTAACATTGGGGCAGAATTCAAGTGGGTAACCGATCATGTTACAGAAAGTTGTTTCATTTAGGCAGCAGTACCGTTCAAAGTATTTATATTTACAGAATTTCTTGTTCTACGTACGTATTACGTCTTCTTTCAAGGTGTGTAAGTGTTCTTTTTGTTGGAAGGGTTCTTTTTTCACCGTGATTTTTTGCTCTGTAGGTTGAAGATGACGAGGACGAGAAACAGGGAAAGGAATTGGATGGCGAAGTGCACGATGACATGGACAAGAACGTAGACAAAGAACAGGGAGAGAAAGAGGGAGACAAGAAGAGGGATGAACTTTGAGAGGACAAGCGTTGCCCTGACACCCGGCCTGCACACGATGCTGGGCAGTATTGCGACACAGGTGTTCCATACGCACACAGAATGGTGCATGTGGTGAAATGCCTGACGCCACTGACGGAAAAATCACGGAAGCAATACTGTCATCTTCCGCCTAATAAAGTCCCGTCCAGCATACAATTCTATTTCAGGTGCAAGGTTGTTTCGAGTGTACGCGGGCTTTGTGTGGAGACTGAATCGATAGTGTCTAAATGACCGCCTTTTGGTGAAGCAGCTTTTTTTCAAGCGCAGTGAACCTTCCAGCAAAGCATAATAAATGTACATATTTTCATCACATGGTGTTTTTCACTAGGAATTTTAGCATTGTGCGTGTCTCGCAAATTGTACTGTGCTGTAACAATCATGACAATATTATGAAGTCCTAATAGTCTTGGTTGCGACAGCGTTTGCTTGAGGAAAGACCTCGCGAAACGAACGGGCCGAGCCAGTACACAGATGATGACGATGATGATGCCACAGAGTGGCCATGAGGACAAAAATACAAGCGCAGGATGGTGATTATGATCATGCATGGCTGAGAACGATGTAAGTAACAAACACCCACACAAATTACCCCCACTTGGAAGCGGACACCTTGGCCGCTGTAAGTCAAAGTGATGGGAAACGTCGCGTTAAAGGTTTCATGCGAGAAATCTGGACAATCTCGGTGCTTCGGTAACGGCGGTCGATTGGGGCGACAAGTGGTGCCACACGATTACTTACCGGCGAAGCCTGTTCTGAAACTATGTATGGCCCGGTGAAGTGTGGTTGAAGTTTGTCACAGAGACCAGGAGTGCGACTAGGTCTCAAAATCTGCACCTCGTCACCAGGTTGGAAAGACACAGCGCGATGGTATGCGTCATTGATGATCTTCCGCTTGAGCTGTCTCACTTCAGTATTGATGCGAGCCTGATGGCGAGACTGGGCCAGGCGGGAAATGTATTCTTCGCTAGAAGACTGGCATGGATTGCCATGGCTCTTAAAAAAGAAGACGTTGAGAAAGGTAGTCGGGGTGCGTCCGTACACGAGGCAAAATGGTGAGTAGCAAGTTGTTCACTGAACGGCGGTGTTGTAGGCGAAGGTCAGAAATGGTAAAAGGGTACCCCAGCTTTTGTGGTCGGGTTGAACGTAAACGGCTATCATGTCAGCAAGGGTTCGATTAAATCTCTCTGTGAGACAATTTGTCTGAGGGTGGTAGATTGAAGCGGTCTTTTAAGTAGTGTCGGAAGCGCAGTGCTTCATTTACCATTTGTGACAGGAACATTTTGCCATGGTCACTGAGCAGTACACGAGAATCCCCGTGACGCAGGATTCTGACGTGAAGAATAAAGTCTGCAACTTCCACACCTGAGCCTGTAATAACACAGAACGCCTTAGCGTAGCTTGTAAGGTGGTCCACGGTGGTCACAACACTCTAAGGCAAAATTACCTGAAAAAAGAGTAACGGAGCCCAATAGGCACGTGCGATGAACGGATAGACCGTTGAGGAAGAACCACAGAGGGAGCGTGGTGGCCCGTGCAGTGCAAACCATTTAGGGCCATTCCACGCGCTACCGCAGGCAAGCGTGGGACAAATAATTCAATTGGCGACGCTCTTTCACCCTCCACAGCGTCGCCAATTGGCTTATTTATTCCCCACATGCGTGTGGCGGGGGTCCCGGCACGTGCGTTGCCGCTTTGGGGGAAGTACGTGGAAGGGCGCTTAGTCTCCAAACACGGTCCAAATGGATGAACCGCCCGGGCATTGCAGGCAGCGCGCAGAGCGTTGCCAAGGTCACCAGCCATCCTCTCCTCTCGTGGCTCAGTTTTTCCCAGTATTTTGCTGGCGATGGTTCGCGTTGGGTCGCAATCAGAGTGCTCGACCACGGCCGCCTGGATTCGACGATCTGGGAATTACGAAGCGGTGCTTGTGTGTATGGTTGGATCAGCGTGGGCTGCTGCTTTTACGTTTCGCTGCACCCACGAAGTCTGCAGCAAGTCTTGACACGTCAACATGCCGCGCTGTAAAGCTCTGGCTTTAAGATAGTCACGACCAACACATGACAGCAGCAGTTGGGAAGACCAACATGGCGGCCGAGAAGATGGCAGGCCTATTGGATATATATATACTTCAGTCCGACTCAGGGCCGAAATCAGCACTGGATTTTTTCGCAAGTAGGTTATCATTCTTTATCCTACTCTACTCGTCGCGTGTGCGATACGGATCGCACTTGTCGGCAATGGGCTTGGTCGTGTTGTATATCGCACGCACGAAATGCACCACGAAGGTCAGATTGGGCGTCTGCAGTTCGCCTGTGCTTTGCGACTGCCTGGAAATTGGCCGCCATTGCCATTGGCCTCCCGTACGCTCGCTCATCGAGTGCTCGCCTGTCTTCGCCGCCGCGATGAGCTCCGGGCTGACGATATTGGGCTGAGACCTCGTCGCTGTGTTGGAAGTCGTCGAAAACACGTTACGGGTTCTCGTAATGAGCTTGGTTGTAGTATGTCGTGCGCTGTAAGTGCACCTGCACTGGCTGGCGGGGCGTTCGCTAGCGTCAAAACTCAGTGATAATTGGTCGCCATTACAGTTGGCTTTTCCGTCAGTTGGTCGCAAGCAGCTCGTCGCTGTCCGTTAGCCGTGGCAGCGGACTAGCGTTTGCGCGCTGCACTCGCTCGAGTTTGTGCAAAAAGGCCGCATTACCGTCGATTTCTTCGGCATTAGCTCCAAACCAGCTTGGCGCTGTTCGTGGCGGTGGCCAAGCGTACGCTGTCTCTCCTGTTCGAAGTTCGCTAACGGCAGACACTCCACGTACAGTGCCGTGTTTGGTCTTGCGTTCGCTTGGTTGAGCTCAACGACGTCGCTCACTTACGACTCGCCGACTTGTTGGCGGCACGGTGGTTCGTGGAGTTGTGGGTGCGGCCGCCGCTCCTAAGCTGTTGCGCTGCGGAAAGCGAAATGAGTCTGACGATGTGTGACATCATGATGAAATTACTTAGCATATCATATTTCACGTATGTGTTTATTTCACCTTGTACGTATTTCTCATATGCATTCTTGCTCATCCTCTGTCACGTGTGACTAACTATTTTATATACTCATTGTACAACCGTGGGCACAAACCGTGCTGAAAGCTGTGTGCGCTGGCGTCTGCGTTGGCTGCCATCCATCTCTTTCGTCAGAGCAGCTTAAGAAGGACTGTGCGAAATGTGAAGGTAAAGTTATTTGTGTGTCATATTTTACACGCATGTGTTTCTATTAACTTGCACGTACTTGCCATATACGTGCATCTTAATCTTCTGTCACGTGTGTCCAACTATTTTCACTATCTTATTGTACGTACAGCTGTGGGGACACAACAGGCAGAAGGCTGCATGCGCTGGCGTCTGCAATGCCTGTCATCTATCGCTTCCGTCGGAGGAGCTCCCCAAGGAGTGAACAAGATTTGGCAACGAGACTGGACTTGCACGCAGAATAGATAAACTTTATGTGTATGTAGAAAAATTAACAGATTTCGGTGTCTCAGTTTTGTCTTTCGTTGTTGCTGTGACAGCGAAAGCAGTTACACATAGGTGGCTAACTACTTTTTCGTGTGTTCCTTTCTGCGCCATTTGTTGCTCACTGCGCAGAAAAACAGGCGAAAAAAGTATTACGCCTGACAAAAAACAAACAAAAAAGCAATGTTTGAACTGGCGATAAAAAGTTCAACCGATTGCAGGATTCAGTGGCTCAACCGTTCGTCCGGCCAGGTGCAACTGTAAGGACTAACGGTTGCCCAGTAAGGTGTAAATGTCTGGATTAACAGATGCCCTATAGAGTGCAATTGAGAGGACTAAATGTTAGTCCTTTGAGGTGAATTGTGGGACTAATGGCTACTCACTAAGATGTAAATATGAAGACTAAATGTTAGTCCTTTGAGCTCGTCTGTAGGGACTAACTGCTAGACCCGGTGCCGTTAGTGCTTACAGGGATTAATGGTTGTGGCAGCCCCATTAGTCCTCAAAAGGACGAACCACACACCCGTTTAACACCCTTTTGCCTTAGAGTGTATCTATTGTTTGCCAACAGATGGGATGGGGAGAGGCCCGTAAGGACCTAAACATGGTACGGCCGCACGCCCGGTTCCGCTCCATTTTTTAGAACCGTTCCGGTTTTCAGCTGGTCTGGGGACGGAAGTGGGGCCGCACGAGCGGAATGCATGAGCACGCTGATTGGCCGACGCGATGTTCGCGAAGTGCTGGCAACCGTTCGGCAAAACAGAGGTGTTCGATACCTACTTTCTTCAACGGACGACACAAAACGTACACTTTTGCCCTTTCGGGTTCAATTTTAAACGAAGTACGTGCACTGTTACGTTCTGTTCTGCAGCGGCATGAGTGGCATGGTTGCGGTCGTGGACGCTAGAAACTCTACAGAGGGGCCTTAAACTGCGTGATTGTTGATATTCGCTTAAGCTGCCGTATCTAGCATGCGATTAGCTCATCTGCACTAGGTGCATTCTGCGTGTCGTCGCCGTGCTTGAACGTGCCCGTGCTTCAGCAATTGTTAGAACACGATGTTACCGCACCCGTTCCAAACCAGATTATTCAAATAGGCACGCTGACGACGATCACCCATCAATCGCGAGGTTACAGACATGTAGGTCGAGGCAGACAGACACAAATCTCAATTCCCCGCCCCCCCAAAACGCTACTCCTTTAGAGCAGCACCGCGGGCCACTCTAATGTAGTGCGCAGCGCCGGCACGATGTGACAGGGTCACAAACCAGGGCTCGGCAACCTACTACGGCCGGGCCTCATGCGCGCGCCCCCGCACGATGTCCGAACCCCCCCCCCCCCTTACCTTGTGACATTTTATCTGAATGCTAACATAGCAGTTTTGTGCTGAAGTAGATTTTCGCTTGTAAATTTTAATTGTTTGTAAATTGCAGCTTTGTGAAGTTTGCGCTAAAAATACCCGACACTTCTATATAACGATCTATTCCAGT